CAAACGTCCGAGGGGCAAGAAAAGTTGCAAACAAGCTATGGTCCGCTGGAACAAAAATTTCTAAAAGCGGTCTTGAGCGGTAAGAAAGCCGTAAACATTGACGTTGTGTACGGAGTTTATTTTAGCAACGAGGGAACGATGCTCGGCGACAAACGTATCGCCTTGGACAAAAACGATGATATAATTATAAATAGGAAAAGATACGAGGAAACACCGGGTCTGTACGAGTTAATTTTCATGAAATTTCCTAATGAAGATATATGCACGGATAATGACATGCAAACTTACAAGAGCATTCTGTTGACAACCAATGCATATAGACGCGGTTATAGCGCGGATAGTCAAGTACTAGGTAACAAGGGGTACAAGTATAAGAATATAATCGCGCCATTGGTGTTGAATAAAAAAGTTGGAACGGGTATAAACAAAAGATCCGATATACCGCGCGCCATGACACTAAATGATAATAATATTGACTACATTCATTGGGATGATCCCAACGAACTTGTTGATCGTCTCCGATTGTTCGAGGCTTCGCGCCAAGCGGGACATAATGATCACGACAACGAGATTCTGTCGATTATCGAGGAACTTCGAGAAGCCGGTCTCGTTCTAAATTGACGTAGTGCGATATGCGTCATTCAGTCGATATCGAAATGCCGATCGGCAAGTTTGGACTATCGCTCGGAGTAGGAGGAAACGTATCGTACTATCAGTGGAGCGGATCGCTCAGAAATTACGTACGCGATAACGCTCTTTGCGTAGTCGCAGCCGACTTTGATGCAAAGTCACGCAAGATTCGACGTTTAGCGCTACCAGTGGATGAGGCTGATGCAGCAAACAAACGATACGTGCAGCAGAATGTTTAGGATTTGAAAGATCAATTTGTTGAAATCGAGAGGAAGATGATATCGTTCCAAAATAATATGCAGGTTATGCTAAACGAATTTGAAAAGACGATTTGAGAAGTGAATAATCGCAATGACTGAGAAACGATCGCTGGTTGATGAATTACACGCTGCAACGAGAAGAAATTTTCCAAGAAGACGCGTCATAGTATACGGATACGATGACCTGTGGCAGGCGGATGTGGTTGAGATGCGTCCGTATAAACGCTACAACAGAGGTTACCACTACATTCTCACCGTTATCGATGTGCTGAGTAAGCATGCATGGGCGTACCACTCAAAGCCAAGAGCGGGAACGAGGTGACGAAAGCGATTGCAAAGATAATTCGAGACGATGGAAGATGTCCGAAAAATTTTCAGACAAAGGAAAGGAATTTTTCAACTCAAATGTGCAGAAACTCTTGAAGAAACACAA